GATTGGATAGCCCCAATGTTGTGCTCTCTGCCATCTTAGCATTTATAGTTTCATGGTTTCCACACAAACTTAGACCCCCCTTGTTGGACCTTAGAGAGTTGTTGTTGGTTGGTTTCCATACAAAGCTTCTATTTGCATTTCCTATATTGTATTTTTGTTGATCCATCTTTTGTGTTACTGGATATGAATTATTATTTATTTATCTTTGAGTCTTTACATTTTGTATTATTAGCATGTTAGATAATGCATTGTGTGATTTGTGTTTGTGCATATAGGTACCCACCAGGTCATGGAGATGTTTTCCCAGCTTTGATGAACAGTGGAAAACTTGATCTCCTGTTGTCACAGGTTTTTGTGTTCATGACTATATACTCTTTTGCAAAAGAATGCATCTTGTGAAAATTTTCACTTGTAGGTTTCATTATCAATTTAAACTGATTGCAGGGCAAGGAATATGTCTTTGTTGCTAATTCAGATAACTTGGGTGCTGTGGTTGATCTAAGTATCCTTTGTAGTGTACTACCTAGAACTACTATCAGCTTCAGTTTCATTACTGTATCACTTCCTTAATGTACTATCACAGAAATTTTAAACCATTTGATCCAAAACAAGAATGAGTATTGCATGGAGGTATTGCTTTATTTTTATTTATTTTTTTAAGATTTTAAAATAGCTTTTACCGTGCAGTCATCACTTGTTACTCAGATATAATAATAAACAAAGTATTATATGATTTTTAAATATGTAATGTGGAACTTGTATAAGGTATTGTTAATACTCCCATCCTTGCAGGTCACACCCAAAACGTTGGCTGACGTCAAAGGTGGTACCCTAATTTCTTATGATGGTAAAGTGCAGGTATATTCTTTATCTCTTGTCACTTCAAACCAAATGTACCAATTTTCTTTCATCCCTCTTCCAATAAGTACTCACAGTCGTGTCAGCCTTTTTGCCATTCAAAAGTTCTGCCTCGCTCAGGAACGTCTTTAGGTGATTCTCTCTAGAACTCTAGGTCGTTACCATTGTACTACCTCTATCTGAAAAAGAGTCGTATTTGACCAATGTAGAGTCTTTTAGATGTTGTAAGGACACCTGTTATGAATTATGATTCATACTTATATCAATTACTTTTGTTGATTTAACTAAATTTGTCATATGCAACTTGTTTGTGACGTTTTTGGGGAACTACTTTGGTGCCACATATTTACTTTTTGAATGAAATGGAATATTTCAATGGGGATATAGTATGGCTCCGTTTGGCATTAGCTCTAGCATTAAGCATTTAATCTGCACCATTAAAAATTATCCAATACGCAAACCCTAATCATAAACAGTTCCTAAACAAAACTTGTATCCATGAGTTTTATAGTGTCAAAACACTTCAAACAATTAATTAGCAGTACAAATTTGATGCCACTGACCTCAAATAATTGGGGGTTGAGGTGTTGATAATAATGTTGTTATCTATGAGTTTTTACTAATTTTGTTTGTGTGCAAGTAAATACCAATATAGTAGTAGTATAATGGTACTTCTTTTGTTTGTCTGTTACAGCTTCTCGAAATAGCTCAGGTCCCTGATCAACATGTAAGTTCTTAGATTTTTGCATTTTCCTTTGTTTTCAAAGGTTCAACCTTTACCATTTCTATTTTGCTTATGTGGAGTATATGTGGAGCTTTGCAACAATATACTCCAACATTTTTGGAGCCAGGGCTCCACAAATTTGGAATTTGGGTTGGCCCAAAACCTGTACTATCTGCCATGTTCTCAAATCTCAAGTCCTATCTAATTGTATTTGTTACTGTGGAATCAATAATGTTCTATATCAGTGCATGACTGCTGTACATGCAAACCATATTCTCAAATCCTATCTAATTGGTGTTCTCATACCTTTTCCATGTAGGTTAATGAGTTCAAGTCAATAGAAAAGTTCAAGAACTTCAACACCAACAATTTGTAAGAGGCTTGAGACCTGTTCTCAACATTATTTCTTTAACCGTATCTTGCTTGCATGGGAGATACTTAAATTTGTCTAACAATTTACAGGTGGGTGAATCTGAACGCAATTAAAAGGCTTGTTGAAGCAGATGCACTGAAGATGGAGATCATTCCCAACCCTAAGGTAGTAATTATGCTCTTAAACATGATGATCCTCCATCCATTTCTAACTAAGTCTCACTTTGGAGTGAATTTTCTTTCAGAGTAGTCATTTTTTTCCTACATGAATTATTTGTTTTCTTCTAATTATGTCCTCTTAATTTTGTGATAGATCTCATTTATTGTAATTGGAAGGGTAATTTGATCATTTTATGCACATACTTATACTGCCCCGTCACAAAATAAACTACACTTCGGTGTATGATTCCACAGAGTTTAAAACCAGTGTTGAAAAATAAAAGGTAGGCGGTTGAAATTTAATAAGAGAGAGATTGTGAGACACATATATCATTCCTAGATAGGAAAGAGGAGAAGTGTGAAATTTATTTTGGGACGAATGGAGTACTTGTTAAATTAGTATCTGAAGCAAACAACATTAAACTGCAGATAATCAAACTGAGGTGCTAATATAATAATTCAGTATAGTATTTTGATTCAGATTGTGACACTTATTTTTAACTTTCTAGGAAGTTAATGGGGTTAAAGTTCTTCAACTTGAAACTGCTGCTGGCGCTGCAATTAAGGTGATATACTTTTTTAATGCTATTATATAGCTCAAATATATGCTCTTCATATTCGATTTTTGTAAACATTTTGTATTTGTTTGAAAATTTATCTGATTAAATATTTTTTCAATCAGTTCTTTGATCGTGCTATCGGTGTCAACGTCCCCCGGTCCCGCTTCCTTCCTGTAAAAGCAACCTCTGATTTACTCCTAGTCCAGGTTACGTTTCGTCTTCTATTTAATTTTTGGTATACTTTAAACTAATAGAAATGGCTTAAATTAAGCTCACTAACTCTCATTTGCGTCATTTCACAGTCTGATCTTTACACCTTGACTGATGACGGATATGTCATTCGGAACCCAGTCCGTGCTAATCCTTCCAACCCTTCTATTGATTTAGGACCCGAATTCAAGAAGGTTGAGAAATAATGACTCACAATCAAAGAGCGCTGTTTATGTTTATCTAGCTTCTTCAGCATGTGAATTATTGATATCCTTTTAATAAGTGAACACATGCATTCCAGGTTGCCGACTTTTTGGCTCGTTTTAAGAGCATTCCCAGCATTGTCGAACTGGACAGCTTAAAGGTGGTAGGGGATGTATGGTTCGGAGCTGACATTACCTTGAAGGTACGAAAAAGCAGCATATAGCCGACTTATCCGTTGGCATTGGTTTGAAACTTGTGATTTTCTTCCATTGCGCTTTGTGTGGATGAATGAAGATAAAAGAAAGAGAGATTTTCCTCTTGCCATTTTCTCTCTTGTTGCCTTTTTTTTTGGTTCTCTAATTTATTTTCATTTCCTCAGGGGAAGGTGACAATCACTGCAAAGTCTGGCAAGTTAGAAATTCAAGACAAAGCTGTCATTGCAAACACGGTATGCTAATGTGCTTTTCACTCAGCCATTGTATGCTTTAAACATGCTCTAACTTATGGCTTTTGCTTCTTTTCCATTTATGTTGCAGGATTTCTAAAGCAGTTCCTTCTCTTGAGTATATCCAAGGGCTGGGCTGAAAGGCTCAATGTGTCTTTTTCGTTTTTTTTTGAGAGTTGTGGTGCTTGTAAATTTTGGTGTTGAGAAAAATAAAATGACCACTTTTGTAATAATGCCTTTTAAGAGCGTTGGTTTTGTTCTTGTGACTTTTTACTGTATTACCACCACCCTCCAAAGTTTTAAAAGATGGACATTCTATGTCTTAATGAATTCCCACTTTCCTCCCACCTTGCACATCCTTAGTGCCTTCATTATTACTCCGTAATTTTTAGTTGATGATTAGAGTTTATTTACTTTGATTGAAAAAAATAACAAAAATGATGTGTCTACGGAGAAACAAAAAAAACTGGCTTAAAAATAATCATTGAAGTCTTACTTATTTGTTTGGTTTATAAGCAGCTTATAAGCGCATAGAAATATGTAATTAGCTGATTTATAAGTTAAAAACTATTTATAAGCACAGAGAAACACCTAGTTTGTTGCCATAGATTTAAAGGTCTTTAGCAACTTATGATTATCATTTGTTTGTGCATTTGTGGTTGAAATTTGTGTTAAGAAAGAAAACTTAAACAATAGAGTCATTGCCTGAAACAAAAAAAGTAAGCTCTTTCATAATCATCTTGTTTTCGATTATGATGATTTATTGCAGTTATTTTAATTTAGTTTATTCAACTATTGATGTAAAATTTAAAAATAAAGTTATGCTCCGTATATTTAAAAATGAAGTACATAAAAATTTGCAATAGATGAGATAACACTAAAAAAATAAAATTGTGGAAATATTATTATAAGAACATTTAGGCTTTGATTGGGAATTAATATTTTTGATTAGCATTAGATTTTGATTAAAATTTTAATGGTATGTATTAATTTTGAAAATACTAAAGATTAGGTCAAACGTGTCCTAAGTTAATATTGAATTCTTTTTCCCTCTAACCCAATATAGATTTTCTTTTTTGATTTACAATGGTTGATTGAAATCATTTTTCATTTGTTTGATATACAAACTGGTGAGAAAATTTAAAACTAAAATTTTACATATTTTAAAACTACATATAAAATTTTATAAAATCTGAGATGACATGATTTTATTATTTTACTTAATGAGTATATAAAAAATGAGTACTGAAACTGGTTAAAATTTGACATTATGAATAATAAACATGGAACTTAAATTGGGACGAGAGAGATATAATATTTTGTGGAAATCATCATTTTTGTTTTAAAACGAAAGTGATTTTTTTTTATTTCAAAAAGAGAGAAAAAGAAATGTTCAAATTTTTTATGGGTATTATTATTATTATGAGCTCCGGGTAATAGTTAGTTCCAGAGCTTATTGCAGGGGATCGCTCGATCTTTTGCTCTATAAAATCCACAGTTTCTTGAAATGTTCACCAACGTTCAAAGGCAGGAAGAGCGTACCGGCAAATATGGAACTCCGAGGGTGCAATACCTTCAGGAGCTAGTGTCTCGGTTTCAAAATGCATCAGATGAAGGTAACTGGCGGATCAAACTCTCAGTTTTTATCTTGCCGTTATAAAAAAATATGCCCACTAACTGTTTGATAAATTGTTACAACGAAGCAGCCCCCCTTAGCTGATTTCTCAATTTGTATCTCTCCGTCAAGAATATGCCCACCAAATGTTTTATAGATTGTTACAATGAAGCAGCCATTAGATAATTTCTCAGTTTTTTTGAATCTTCCTGTCAAGAATCTGCCCACTAACTGCTTGATAAATTTTTACAGTGAAGCAGCCCCCTTATGAACTGTAGGGGTTTCATCATTGTTGGTGTCTTGTTCTAAATCTTTCAGCATTTCCCATTTTTTGGTTCAGATTTTTTTTTGTTTAGGCTCAGAGTGTTTGTGTGATTGCTGAAACTAAGTGGGCATGAGTTTAAATAAGTCCTTCAAATGCGTTAGTCACTCATTCATATCAACAATATTCATATTCAGCATAATTCAGCATAATTTCTTTATTGAATATGTACGGGACAACCACTTTTGGACAAACAGAAAAAGGAAGTGGACAATTAAATTTGGACGAAGAGAGTGTGTTTTACTTGTCTTTAAGATAGATGTTGTGATATTATGTTAGAGCCACTTTGGTTGAAGGGTTTTGGAGGGAGGGATAAGAAACACTCCATATACAAGTGCCGTAATAGGTGATCATATAGCATTTTGATCATGATCATTGCAGATTTTTCCTAATGTGAATCTTCAAAAGATGAAGATTGTAATGTACTAGATCAAACCACACATTGAACTTACTTTGCTTCTTACTTTCTATGATGTTTTGGTAGTAAATAAAACAATGCATAGGGAACCACTTCTATTTACAGGGGTAAGACGACGTAAATATCAAACCCCAATGAAGCTAGGATTATGCCGTATTTTATCATCATTGCATAACATTTCAATAACCCTTTTATCAATTTTGAAAAAGTCTTCCAAAGTCCTTCCCCTTCATCCATCCATGATCCATACTGACCCATAGTCTGTTTATATACTCCTGCTATTATCATTACAGAAACCAAAGAGCAGATTGTGGCTAATTTGGCAAACTTTGCATATGATCCATTCAATTATACTTTTTTACGCCAGGTTCAGATTCATTTCTGATCCATTTTTGGTGATTATTTCTTTTGCTGTCACTAAAACAATGATTGTGATTTTGAAACAGCTTAATGTTATAGAGCTTTTTCTGGATTGTTTAACTGAGCCTAATGAGAAGCTTGTGGAATTTGGTGTTGGAGGGATCTGTAATTGTTGTGCAGGTAGTGATGCTCCGCATAGCTTTTTCATTTTATTTAATTTGTTTCAGGGAGAGCTTAGAAGCTACCTTTTTCTCCAATGTACAACTTCTAAATTTTGGTGAGGTAGAACTGATAGACATAATCAAATATTCTCATTCCATCCCTAAAATTAAATCACTTTTTAACTTCATGGAGTTGAAGAAAAGTGTTGAAAAGTAAAAAAAATGGGGTTAGAATTTGTTTTGAAGAAAAAAATATTGTCAGTCACATATTCTTTTCCTTAAAAGGAAATGTGAGAAGTGTGCCTTAAGAAAATGGAATGTGCTACTTTATTTTAGGAGCGGAGGCAGTAATTATATTTTCATTTTTTTGTAAGATTAACTAAATTCACATGTGATGAAAGTTAACTTTCTTCCCCCCCCCCCCTTCCAAGTTTTAACTCTTTTATGAAACGGAAAAAATGTCAAGAAAGAAACCTTGTTTTATGGGATAGAGGGAGTAATAAATTAGGGACGAAGAGAGTATATGAAATTTAAATATACAACAACAAATCCAGTGAAGTGCCACAAGTAAAAAAGGTCATATTCCATTTGCATTTTATACGGTAAAGACAAAAATAAAATAATAACTTTACTTATCATTTCTCCCTTTTTCTATTATGTGATTCAGACATACTCTTAAAATATTCCGGGGTACTATTTACTTCATTACGAGAACTGAGCTCTTGCTCTGCAGCTTTTTCCTTGAGTATGCATATCTTATGCAGTGCAGTTTCATATGCAGATCCTACTAATGCTGCACTAGTAACTCAAAATGATGGGATACCACTCGTTATACAATGCCTATCAAGTCCTGTTAGAAACACGGTACATAAGATAATTATTACCAAGTTCTTTTTTGTGGTAAGAAGAAAAGATGGCTATGCCATAAAAAGTTAGTTTCATCAAAAGAAGCTAGTTTTTACGTGTCACTGTCCAAATAAAGTCATTGGCAAGAGTAACAAGTTACATATGATAAATTTAGTAAAACCACCGTGATTTATTAAAGGAGTTGAATTACGATCTATAAGTCGATAACAATTTTTTTAACCTTACTAAAAATATAAAGGAAGTGCCTTTGTGAAATGGGACTCTTTTTTGGGGTGGGTGTAGTATATTTTAAACGGGGCAATTCTTTTGACATTGGAGTTTAATGTCATAATATGGCATTAGTCCATTTGAGTCCCCTACAGTGCTCGTTGGGGCCGAAAGTGGTATCAGCCCCCTCCTACCCATTGCTTTTTTTTGGGTCAAATTAGCTTCCCGTCTTTGTTTTTTCGTTGAGCTCATAATTATCATCTTACTTTCTTTTAAAGAAAGAATTGTGTGGTTGATGCGTTTTCTTTCCTTTTCGGAATAAATCTTAACCAAACTATTTCTATTTATTGATAGGCGTGTCAAAAGAAAATGAGAAGCTGATTCGAGGACAAAGAGAGTAAACATTAAACACTATCGCTAATGAATGGTGCATTTTGTAATAGAAGATTGGTGTACCACACTTGCACCAAATTTATACCGCATCCAAAATTTTGAACTATACATACAAGTTTTCTCTGTTTAGAATGTGTAAGCTAGGCCTTAGACTACATTTTTTTGGAAAATGATATAAAAAACCATGAACTAAAACCAAATATTTCTAGGAAAATGCTACATGTACACCACATTTCTAGTCAAGTGCCTAAACTGGATTTCTTATATCATAGCTACAATTTTGCATTTTGTCTTCAATAATTGAATAAGTACTCCCGTCCCATAATTTTATCCCTGTTTTTCCTTTCAGATGTCCCAAAATTTTCTTGAGAACATATGATTCCTATTTTATTTCTTCCTTCGCATAGAAACCACGTCTGGAGGGAGTATTTGCATAGGCTACACCTCACGAGTCTTTTTAAAAGTTTAATGATGTGACCCTATCCGGCGAAGGACCACAAAACTGTAAACCGGTCTAGGTTATGCTAGGATCACACATACACATATCAAGATGAAGAAGAAAATGAAGAAATCGAAATTGATATGAACACTCATTTTTGAGAGAGAAAATGCAGAGAAATGATTTCATAGGGGAACCGAACTCGCATTCTCACAGTTGTTTTACCTTTGCAGGTGAATTATGGACTCGGTGCATTGTATTATCTCTGCAACGCTTCGAACAAGGAAGAAATCTTGAAGCCAGAAGTATTAGATGTGATCAGAAGGTATGCTGCAGCCAAGGAGGTTAGTGTGAGCTTCAGTAACCTGGCTCAAGCTTTCTTGGATAAGCACGTTTCAGAGCCGAATCAAGTAAGCTTTCTTGACTATACTTCTACTCCGTATTTTTTAAATGTTTCATACGCTCCCAATCTAAAATTTGTCGTCCGCTTTCGAGAATAATCCAAATTTATGCTATGTTTGGTTCGAAGAGTTAAGAAGGAAAGGAAAAATGGTTCTCTTCTTTTCCTGGACAAATTGGAAGGGAATTTGTTTCTCCGTTTTAGTTTATTTTTTCCTCTCATTTTCACAATTCGACTGTTTAATTACCCTTCTTACATTGAATCACGCAGGGAAATAACTGAATGAACTATACAACCACTCCTCTTCATACTGGTTATTCAAGATGTTGAGTGGAAGGGCAGAACCAATATTATATTAATAGGGAGAATTCGTCAAAAAAAATGGGCAATGAATAATGAAATGCCAAAACAAAAGCAGCACTTTTTGTGATCTAATTAAGAACTAATAGTGCCATTGCCAATTGTAACGCCCACCGACCACTATCACAGGTCGGTGGAGTGTCGCCATCGGTCATCAACATTCACTTGCGTTGACGGGTGGTTTACCACCACAATCCATCGTCACATTCCTACCATTCACGCTTACATTGTCAAACGCTTATTTGGGGCATAAAAACAATGCCACTTTTATTTTGATATTTTAATGTCTTTTAACTCCTATCTAGAGACATTTCTTATTTTAATAGGGAATAACATTCTGATTTTGTTTTTTAGTGCTATTATTTTAAGGGTGGGATTTCAATAATATTGGGTTTTAATATCATAGTATGACACCAGCCCCAACATGGACACCTATAATGTCCGATTCGTAAAATTACTTATCCCTATTCAGTATCTACATGTAAATGTCTCATTTTGGCTGGACTCAAACCCACCCTCCACTCCCTTTAGTTGCACCCTCGATTATAGTTAATTTTGGGTCAAATTTTTAACTTCAAAATCAACTAAATTTGGAGNAGGTGGAAGTATAATTAAATGTGGCAATTAAACTTTGTAATTGGTGATTAGAACTAGTGAGATGTTCGAATTTAGGCCAATGCCTCTTCTTAGCATTGAGGCCAAAGTCATGAAAATGGGATGTTATTTTAATCAATAAAGCTTGCTATATACCAAGATTTCTACATACTTATACATTTTGTGTATCGCAAACAACACAGATAATATATATTCTAATTAAGACCAATGTCTTTTAATAACATTGAGACCAATGTTATAATGAAATACTCCCTCCGTTTCGGAGTGTTTGTCCATTTTTTACTTTTTTGGTCAAAATTATTAAATTTTGACCTCAAAATAAATAAAAATGATATTAGATATTGATACAAAAATAGTTTTATTAGATTTATTATATCAAAAATTTTTAAAATATTATTTTATCTAATTAATATACAATATACATTTTATTTAATTATAAGTCAAAAGTTAAAAATTAATGACTAAAAAGTTAAGATTGGACAAATACTTTGAAACAGAAGTAGTATTATTTTAATCATGGGGGCAGTGTCCATGACATTGCTAGCAATATCATGGGATGACCCGGAGGCCGTATGATGCTCCGTTCGTAAAATTCATTGTTCCTATATCTCTTAAGTCCTAACCTCCTCGGTAAACTCTCCGCCCCATCCCACCTCGTCTCGAACCTACCGCCTCACTCCCTTCAATTGCATCTCCCAAGTTTAACTCACTTTGGAATCAAAAATTTTGAATCCAAAATCAGCTAAATTTGAAGGATGCAATTGAATGGTGTGGGACGGTGGTTTTGGGAGCAGGGTGGGATGGGGGTTTATCGGAGTATTAGGAAAAATAAGAACTGTCAATTTTACGAACAAAGTATCATACAGCTTCTGGATCATCCAATGATATTGCCTAAGGACGTTTGAAGGGAAAAAAGTGTTTAATACGGAGTAATTAAATTTTAGTTACCTCAAACACAATAATATTATACAGTAATTCAAATGGCCAATGGCATCACATGCCATAGAAGTGAGACGAATAGCCGTCTAAAAACAAGAAGCAGAGTCGTATAGAGTGATCTCTAACGCTCACCAAACTCTGCATTCACAGAGAGCCATCCCGCTATTTAAGGTGCTCAATATCCAATCCATACCACCATCTTCTTCCACACCGCCGCTGCGCTCTCCTACTCAGTCGGCCGGAGTTTCTCTGCCTCAATCTCAGCGCCTCTCAGGCTTGCTCGAGTTCAACTAGCCGATCGACCGGAAATGGCTTTCCAGAAGATCAAGGTTGCCAATCCCATCGTTGAGATGGACGGTTAGATCTCTGTTCTCCTTCTTCACTTGTCTTCTTCATTTTTTCCGATCTGTTGATTTATCTGCTTTCCTTTCAACTCGCATCGCTCGGATCTGTCTTAATACTTACCCCCGAGTAAAACGTTGTTGTTCCTTGCTTGTTGCTGCAAGTCGTATGACTTGTTCATAATCTGTTAATGATCGCCATGTTTTAGCTGGTGAAGTCGCTGTAAAACGTGTTCTGATTGAGAGGATGAAGCCTTGGGACCTTGGAATAGTATCCTCGTCTCCCCTTTGCATTTACTTGGATGTCTACTTTTGGCATATATCTTGTGGGACACATGATAGAATGATATGAATATCTGTAGAAGTCAACAACTCCTCATCTCCTTTTATGTCACTTTCTAACTCTATTCGTGTTTTTAGCACTTGTCTTGCGATATGATCTCCTTGTTTTCTGGTTCATAGAAATTTTCATTTCAATTTTAGTTGGGCCTGAATAATTCCTGTAGTCAGTGTGATTTTTCATTGCTGGCTTATTAAAGTGCTGTAAAAAATGCGTGTTTGTCTTATTTTGTTTCAACATGTTTAACCAGGGGATGAAATGACCAGAGTAATCTGGCAATCAATCAAGGATAAGGTATCATTCCTATACTGCTCAATAAGATCTTATGTCCAAAAAATATATATTTTTGTTTATATTATGGGATCTCTTTTTTGTGCAATAGCTCATTCTGCCATTTCTGGAGTTGGATATAAAGTACTTTGACCTTGGTCTCCCTCACCGTGATGCCACAGATGATAAGGTTACTGTTGAAAGTGCAGAGGCTACCTTGAAGTATGTTTAAACTTTTTTTTGTCCAACTTCAAATTTGTGAAGATATGATGTACTTAATTTATGGTTAAATCGTCATTACATTTATTACATTTGTTTTGTGTGTAATTATTTTTGTAATTCTATAATTGTAGGTATAATGTAGCAATCAAGTGTGCAACCATAACTCCGGGTTAGTATCTGGAAGGAGGCACATCATTTAAGTGATGTAAAATCTTGTATTTACTGTTTTGTTGTAGCCTTATATGAATATTAATGTGCTTATGATATGACGTGATTGCTCTTCCCAGATGAAGCTCGTGTAAAGGAGTTCAACTTGAAACAAATGTGGAAGAGCCCAAATGGAACAATTAGGAACATCTTGAATGGTTATTTTGTATTTTCTTATTTGATATTTGTTTTTTAAATCTTTAGAAGTATAATCTAGTGCATAGTTAATGGTTATTTTGGGTTGTTTTTGTATAGGTACTGTTTTCAGAGAACCAATTCTTTGCAAGAACATTCCCCGCCTGGTCCCAAGTACAGTCTCAGGATCCTTTACGTTAAGGTTTTCCTCTTTCAAATGTCTTAAGCATGCACGCTATATTAATGTTTAATTCATTAGGTTGGAATAAAGCAATCTGCATTGGAAGACATGCCTTTGGGGATCAGTACCGAGCAACTGATACAGTTATTCAAGGAGCTGGAAAACTAAAACTGGTGTTTGGTAAAGACATTCTTTAACTACTTTTCCATATTTCCCTTCCATTGTTTTTGCTCTACTTATCAATAATAGTGCATTGCCATGAGTCTACGTTTCTTTCGTGTTAGCTTTCTGTTAGTTAACACATATTCTTATAATAAGATCTGATTTGTGCTTCCAGTACCAGAAGGAAAGGAGGATGAAAAGACTGAGTTTGAGGTTTTCAACTTCACTGGAGCTGGTGGAGTTGCCCTTTCCATGTACAACACTGATGAGGTTTGTATATGGTTCTCTCATGTTTTTTGCTTGTTATTGTTTTGTCATGCCTCTGATCAGATGTGTTATGTTTCTGTGATCTAACAAGTTACGGTTTCATGTGTACTTTATAGTCTATTCGTGCTTTTGCTGAAGCTTCAATGAACATGGCATACGAAAAGAAATGGCCGCTTTATCTCAGTACAAAGAATACTATTCTTAAGAAATATGATGGGAGGTATTTTTCTTCCGCTTCTCCTATCCATCCATAAATATCATTCAGCTAAAATCTCAGCCCTGTTTATATTGCTCCCTCCGCATAAAAAAAGTCAATGTTGCAAAAGTTCTTGCCCAAAAAAAGAAGAGCTCCTATTAACTTAACAAGACCAAGTATTCATTTAATTTAACAAAAAAACTGCAAACAAGTAAAATATGACAAATTCAGTTAAATCAACATAAAACATTAAAACCATAAAAAAGATATAATGACTTTGAATAACTTTACTATTCTAAATTTTAGAAGCTGTACCTTGACCAAACAAGAGTCATTTTTGGGAAGGAGTTGGTACTTGTCACATATTTAAAAAAATTGTAACCCATTTCATTTCATTAAGTTTCACACTTTTTTCATGAAGGTTCAAGGATATATTCCAAGAAATCTATGAAGCTCAATGGAAATCAAAGTTTGAAGAAGCTGGGATTTGGTGAGAATAGTAGTTCTTTTATCTGAGATGCTGGGTCTTGCATCGTATCTTTACCTAAACTGGTTGTTCTATTGATGTAATAGGTATGAACACCGTCTTATAGATGATATGGTTGCTTATGCTTTGAAGAGTGATGGTGGGTATGTATGGGCATGCAAGAACTATGATGGGGATGTACAAAGTGATTTTCTAGCTCAAGGTAGTCTCAGAATGATGTTTAACTGGACTATTTAAACCTTTAGGATTATAATAAGTATTTTACCCTGGTGCTTATGTTTCTTTTTTGTGCTTTTAGTTTTCTTGTCTTGGTAGCTTGCTGATCTTCATTTTTTTTTTTAATAATCAAAACAGGGTTTGGATCTCTTGGGCTGATGACATCTGTTTTGGTATGCTTCGTTTTTTGAGTATATATTCTGGTTTAGTTCTCATTGTCCTGTTTTTTGATCATTTTGTTAGCATCTCATATCATATAACATTCTCTCTCTCTCTCTCTGGGATAAAGGGCACCTTAGTCACTCAGTTACGGAGTATAAAACTTTAGGAATTGTAGTCAACAACTGTTCCTGGCTGCATCTCTTGGCAGCAGTTTTTGTCCTCCCATTTATCCCATTAATAAGGAGCTAATTTTAACAACATAATTTTACCTGGCTAAAACACAAGCCACTTCTTTTCTTTGTTTCCTTTAAATTTCTAATTGTGTGAATGTTTTGTTTTATAGTAAATTATTTTTGTCTCTTAAGCTTAATTTTGCATCCAATGTTCCAAGACCTTGTGGATTTGTTATAGATTTGCCCTGATGGAAAAACCATAGAGGCTGAAGCGGCACATGGAACCGTCACACGTCACTATAGAGTTCACCAGAAGGGCGGTGAAACCAGCACAAACAGCATTGCCTCCATCTTTGCCTGGACTCGGGGCCTCGCTCACAGGTATTTATGATTTGTTTCTATACCCAAAGACTGTATGGACACTTCATAAAAGTATCTGTCCACATATACTCAGAGATATTAAGGAGTCCTATATTTCTGTTTATTTTAATCGCAAACTATATATTGACATTAAATCATAGTATTCTGTTTTGCTTCCTACATTAAAACCCGAATCCTACCAGAACCTCGGCACAGAAATTTCTTTCTTTACCAAAATCACACCTAGTAGTAGAATAATGATGATTGTGATGCGTTTTTGTGAGCAGGGCGAAATTGGACAACAACGATAGACTCTTGGATTTCACGGAGAAGCTGGAAGCAGCCTGCGTTGGCACGGTGGAGTCTGGAAAGATGACCAAAGATCTCGCACTCATCATCCATGGCTCCAAGTGGGTGTTTGTTTGGCCTTCAATTTCGGTCATTTTTTATTTGCACTTTTCGGGTCACTATCGGTCAAATGACATCTACCCAAACATTGTCTTCTTGTTTGATTTGTATGCAGGCTCTCAAGGGATACGTATCTGAACACTGAACAATTCATCGATGCCGTGGCAGATGAGCTGAAAGCTAGGCTCTTGAAGGCTAAGGCATAAACGCGTACGTATTTAATTATTATTATTTACTCCAAATTTATTTATTTATAAATGCTTTAGGGCTTTGTTTGGTTGGTTGGTTGGATTCCGGAGGGGGGAAAACTGATTTTTGGGTTCAAATGGATTCTGAATAATATCTTTGGACAATTTCACCACCGGGTAAATTTCACAAATGGTACCTGAACATTAACTGGAATTTCGAAGTAGTACACTTCAAATCCTTTCACAAAAATTCTTGAACTTACACAATCCTTTCACTAATGAGCCATTAGCCCGTTTCTAGGTTAACTTCCGGTCATTAGGGCCAAATTCGAATTTTATATATTTTAAAATTTTCAATTTGACCCCATTTCTTCTTTTCTTTTCTTCCACGCCCCGCCGCCGCCGCCCGCCGGTCAAAGTCGCCGGAAAATGAACTTTTTCCGATTCCGGCGGGACCAATGTCATTCTCTTCGTCTTGAGACGAGGATCAATAATATCCAAACCATTTTGTCTAATTTGGCCTGTAACTTCTCGAATCTGAATTTTTCTACTCGAAAAAACCCTAAAATTCGAAATTGGATCCAAAATTGGGGGTTTTGCAAATCTTCATCAAATCTTGCAATTGAGGGGTCCTTGGAGGTCGCCCGGATGCCACGACCGCATTGGAGTTGGTGCCCTACGTCAATTTCACCGGATTTCTCCGGAAAACGCTCCGACCCGCTGGAAACCGCCGGCGGGTCGGAGCTTTTTCCGGCGGGCGTGGAGGAAAAGAAAAGAAATGGGGTCAAATTGAAAATTTTAAAATATATAAAATTCGAATTTGGCCCTAATGACCGGAAGTTAACCTAGAAACGGGCTAATGGCTCATTAGTGAAAGGATTGTGTAAGTTCAGGGATTTTTGTGAAAGGATTTGAAGTTCAGGTACCACTTCGAAATTCCAGCTAAAGTTCAGGTACCATTTGTGAAATTTACCCTTTCACCACCTGTTGTTTAGGTCTCTTTTGGTTTTGGATGCAGCAACTGGGGGAGTGGAACTTTCTTTTCTATACAGTATTTTGGCGGATAACAGAATAAAATAGACTTTGCGCAGATCATATACATATAATCTCCCCTTTGTCATTGAGAAATTTTCAATGGCTACTTCAAGTGGTCCATTTATTGTCCATTTATTATGTACTCTCTACTCTCTATTAAAACTCTATTACGTAGTACTCCCTATTTTCCATTACGTCTCTAAATACTCTTTACAGTGTTTATTTTCAAGTACTCCGTATTCAAGTAACAGATGCTCCCCTCTCTTTGTCTCTCTCTCTCTTTAGTTTTTACTACTAGTAGTAATGCCTTTAGCTCTCGCACGGATTGAACCCTTTCAATCCAATGATCTAATGTGACGGCTCCTTCCGTCATCGGTTGTGCACTGGGCACGGCACGTCACGACTTCTCGGGAAACAACAAATAGAGATTGTATTGTGATTTACTCTTCTCGTTCCTGAGTATTTGTCTACCTTTGACCTTTTTTTAGTCAAAGTTGGTAAACTTTGAATTAATTAAAAATGATACAGGGTATTAGATATTGATACAAAAATAAATTTATTAGATTTATTATAGGAAATATTTTTAAAATAATATTTTGAATATATATTTTATATAATTATGGGTTAAATATTGAAAATGATTGATTGAAAAAAATAAAAAATGTACAAATATTCATAGACGCAGGTAGTATTCTCTCGCTATTTTGCTGGGTCGGTGTATGGTTAAGTTTACCTTGGATTTTTTTAAATATTTTTGTTCTTCTTAACTTTAACTCTTAAGATATTTTGGAGTTTAAAACAATTAAAAACTGGTACGTAATGTCAAAATATAATGCAAAAAATATGGTGAAATGTCAATACATGATGCCCTCTCTGTTTGGGAAAGATTTGACTTTTTAGGGGCTTGAATGCAATATTTTGATTATTACTCCGTAGTATATATGTGTGTGTTATAAAAATTTAATATTTAGAAGTTACTTTACAAAATGAAACTGACGATATTACGTTTATATCTAAACATAATTGGAGTATCAAGCTTAAAATTTATAAATTATAACCAAGAAAATCAATTGGGAAAATTATTTTCGGATGAAGGAGTATCTAATATTTCTTGGTTCCAAAATTCTTCATTGAATAAAACAGATTAAACCTTATGTTGAGATAAGTTCTTTATTTTAATCTTATTTTCATAAATCATTTGAAAGGGAAAATCGGAAAAAGCGAGGGCAATACTCCGTATATGAAGTCATTAATCATGGATAATGGTTGAGATTAATTGGACACATCCACCGGTTTTAACTTCCCATGACCGGCATGGCATTAACTACCGCCAATTATGGCTTTTCCTGACTGCGGTAATTACCCGTCACGTTTTTTTGTTGGGTTGCTTTTTGCCTCTTTCACTTTTGTTGACTTACAAGAGCATTCGGTATTATTTACATTTATTACTTACAAATAATTATTTATATTTATTAGAATCAAGAATTTATCTTAAACCAGCTCATACTAAAATTTATCTTAATTAGATCAGAGCCAATAAGATATGATGAAGAGAACAAACTGTTAGTTTTATTCGGTAATAGTATCATCCCGATATCATTCAAATTGACCTTTTGGAATCAAATAGGATGAATTCAGATCTTAAAATAAAATTATAATTTTTATTAGTATACGAATGACTTTATTAAATGTATATTTTTAAGAACTTTTGAAAATTATTTCATTGTTTTAATATGCAATACAATTTGAGAGCCATTGATCATTAGAGTTCGGCTGATCTGACTAAAAAAACCAAATTGAACGAATACACTATGATAGGAGTATTTGCCATTTACATTTAAAGACTAAAGAGTTGTATGATAAATAGTTCTTGCGGTCTTCTATAAATTTGAAAGCAATCACGAACTTTCAAAGGTTGTGAAATGCCCTGTAATCAAATTGACAATTGCATTATTAGTCTTTCCTATAAGAAAAATGTGAAGCAAACGCTTTAAATGCAAAAATGCAAAATGTGTAACAAAATAAAGATGCTAATCTCATGAAATTGTCCTTGTCTTTATAGTTAAAGCAGAAAATGGTCTTCTTCCATATCTTATAGCACACGATATTATCCTATAATAAAGCTCTACTTGAAGAACAAAATAATCACGATCGTTTAGAACATTGTACTACTATTGTACTACTGTTCAAGAAGATCACTATGAAAGACATGAAGAAGTTGTGATAGTTGAACCCAAAGATTGAAGACATTGTAATACGATTCATGCTTATACACTATTTTTTTAACCAAATGTTTTATTAAATAGGGCTCCAAGCCAGGACTTCATGCTTATACATTATAATTAAAACCCCATATCAACTTTTTTTATTGTTACATGTTTTAAATTTTTGTATAACATTTCATGTTCTGCGTGCTTCACGTTTTCGAAAAGAATGACTAATTATGTTTTTCGATTTACGATGTTTGATTGAAGTTACTTTTAATATAACTTATTTGATAATTAGTGCATGATTAAAAAATACATATAAAAAATCACTACCTCTGTCCTAGTGTAATTGTTCAGTTTGACTTTTTCGAGTCTAGCTGGACAAACTTTGAACTCCAATTACTCTTAATTTCTATTGCATATTAGCATAATGAAATACAATTTTGAAAGTTCTCAATGCGATAAATTCAATAAAGTCATTTTTATGTTAAAATACATTACAATTTTTATTTAATTGAAGCTCAAAATTTGTCCAGTTTGACTCGAAAAAGTCAAACTGGACAAATACACTGGGACGGATGGAGTACATCAGAAGCTCTACAAAACAAGATGAGTAAGAAAAATAGAAAAAAGAGTATATAAGTTTGACCATGTGAATTGGTAAATAAACAACTTATTTTAGGACGGAGTGAGTGTTTCATAATTTTTGAAAATAAAGTTTAAGATCTGGTTTACCCGCTATTGAAAGACCATGAGAACTATATATTTATGCATATTAGTCCTAAAATATTCATTGCATTACTCCAACAAATTTTTACCATAATAATAATAATAATAATAATAATAATAATAATAATAATAAGTGAAAATTAGTTAAAAATAAAAAGAAATGAAGACCAAGTTGTTCCTAGAGAAGTGCAGTGCTTTTTACCCTCCTTGGTTCACTCTCTTCCACAGCTTATTATAAATACCATTACACCCGCCACCACTCTCCGCCCATTCTCATCCATCCTCCACCACCACCACTTCGCCTTGATCATATCAATCACCTCCGCCGTCGCCGTCGCCAACCACCATGGTTCTATCGAAGACCACCTCCCACACCGACGCCTCCGTCCAGTCCTCCACCTTCGCCTCCCGATATGTCCGCACTTCTCTCCCCCGGTACGTATCATCTCCGATCCCCCGTGGTTTGAAAATTAGTAACACATAGACGATCTTTGCGAAATCTCACAACGATCCAACGGTCGATTCGTCGTGGATCATATTATAACTTGTGCCATTTCGCGCATTGGAACGTGATTGTATTGTTTATGTTGAATGTAAGGCTAGCGAGTGCGTGAAAGCGCTAAAATTAATGTCAAACGGATGGGATGTAGGTTTCAGATGGGGAAGGATTCGATCCCGAAGGAGGCGGCGTACCAGATAATCAACGACGAGCTGATGCTGGACGGGAACCCGAGGTTGAACCTCGCGTCCTTCGTGACCACGTGGATGGAGCCCGAGTGCGACAAGCTAATCATGGCTTCAATTAACAAGAACTACGTCGACATGGACGAATATCCCGTCACCACGGAGCTCCAGGCATGCCCTCGCACCCACTTCTTCGACGTTTCCTTCCCAATCTTCGTTTAATTTCGTCGAAATCGCGTGTGAGACTCGGCGTCTGAGATCTCTGTCGACGAGTTCAGATGTCATTTGCCTCGTGTTTTTCTAACTCATTCTTTCATTCTTTCCTCTTCTCAGACAATGAAAGAAAGCTACGAAACAATGAGTTGGAGAAACACGAGACGAAAAGGTTCAAACGCGCTCCAAACATCTACCTTTTTGGTGGAGTTTGAAGTTCATATATATTGTTCACTTTTTATATGTTTAAGAGGAAAATTTGTGCTCAATATGAATAGTACCTCACAGGTCCAAAAAAAATATTTACACTAAATAGCACTTAAACTTTTTTATTGCATAAATAGCACTTAATAATATTCCAAAGAGGAATAATGTCCAGTGATGACAAACATTTGTTTGAGTAATGACTGATAGATAATGACTAAAAGTGCTATATTGGAAAAAAACAGGGAAAATCATAATGTTTTATTGATATTTAAGTAAATTCACCCGTCCAAAATTAAACTTTGTAAACGAGAGTATTTGTTTCGTGCATAAAGTTTTAAAAACTGAATTTGTGTAATTGGCACAGTATTTAATATATTGAGATTGAATATAGAGAGAAATAAAAAAAACAAATTACAAATTATTTTTGTAAAGGAAAAAAAGATTATTATTTTTTAACAAACGAGAAAAAAAAAAGAAGGTTGTTCCCAAGGACTGATTTGGCCAACTGGAAAATTGACACCCAACATAAAGTCAAGACATTGATTATTGACCTATTGGTGCTTTGATTATTCATAGGCATTTTTGTCCACAAGTGCATTTTTATAAGGTTCACAAATTGAATGATCACAAAATTCACAAACTTATCATTTGTGGTTAAAATTTTTATTTTAAAATTATTTTAGACTCTTTAACTTTTTTATTAAATTTTACAAATAGTAAGTTTGTGATTTTTGTGACCATTTTGTTTGTAAATCTAGTCATTTCTATTTTTATAACTAGATTTTTAAGAGATGCAGTAATCTTTATGCTCCATATTTTTAAAGAGAATTTCTTTTCTTTTTTTTTTTAACTTTGTATCCCTATGTGTCGGTTCCTTTGGCTTTAACTCTAATCAAAGTGCAAAGACTCGTAAATCTAGTCACCATTCTATTTTAAAGTACCCTTAAGAGTTTGAACACAAAAATAACATTGAAATATTTTCTCCGTCTTAAATTTTTTTTTCCCAGTTACTCTTCACACCGTCAATCTTTATCATTTTTTTTATCTATTTTCGTTAGTTATTTGATGAGATAATATTGTCATGTCACGTCTTATTTTCTAAAAAATTTAATGTAATTTTTAAATATATATATAATACTCCTACGATCAAATAAATGTTCCCTTATTTTCCTCATAAAAATGGGAAGAATATGGATTTCCCTCCACTTTGTACATTTTTCATTCTTTTTTTCTTTCACTTTTACTTTCTTTTCTTATCTAACCAAAATTTTTTTTTTTAAAAAAAAGAAAAACTAGAAAATAATTGAGTGTGGGGCATGGCATATATTGTAGAACCGATGTGTGAACATGATAGCGCATCTGTTCAACGCGCCGCTGGGGGAAGGGGAGGCCGCCGTGGGAGTAGGGACGGTGGGGTCGTCGGAAGCCATAATGCTCGCCGGATTAGCTTTCAAGAGGAAATGGCAGAACAAGATGAAAGCCCAGGGGAAGCCCACCGACAGGCCCAACATTGTCACTGGTGCCAACGTCCAGGTCCGTTTACTCTCTATTTTTTTGGGCTCTACTTTGAAGTTGTTTTTATTTTCTTTAAAAATGGTAGAATTATTAAAATACGAGTTAAATTTGGTGAAACAATCAAATCAGAATATATTTTTTTATATTAGAATAAGTTTCATAATGTCAACATATTAACATAAATTACGATGAAATTTTTGTATAAAGTGTCACATGACCATATTGTAATATTCTTATTTCGATATAGAAACTCGTTACTCATAGTTTAGGGTAAGTACTAAGTTTTGCTTCTAGGCAATCATTTAGAAAAAAATGTTTGGAAAATATTTATCAATATCCATAGATTTGACCAATTATATAATTAATATTAGTCCTAAAAATCTTTTGCACACCAGTCCTTTAGAAAAATCATTTTTTCAAATTAATATGGTCAGACTCTAATCTTTAATTACTCTCAATTTTGATTGTATACTAGTAAAATGAAATAAATTTTTGAAAGTTTTCAACTAAATAAACCTAATTATATTATTTTTACACCGATATACATTATACTCCATCCGTCCTAAAATGAAATTTTCAGTTTCACTTTCATGGTCAAACTGTTTGAACTTTGATCGCATATTTCAAAAAAATAAATTGCATTTTAATATAATTTTAATATTAATAGATTAATTTTAAAACATAAATTTAAAATATTTTACTCTCATTGTACATAATTATAATATATATATATATATATATATATATATATATATATATATATATATAAATGATCAATGTTATACATGAAAGACCGTGAAAAGTCAAACAAAAAATTAATTTTAAGATAGGAGTAGTTTTTTATTTAATCGATGTCTAAAATTAGTCTAATTTAACTTGAAAAATCAAAAGAAACGAATATTAATAGAATTTGTGACACAATGAAATGTGAAGGTATGTTGGGAGAAATTTGCGAGGTACTTTGAGGTGGAGCTGAAGGAGGTGAAGCTGAGAGACGGGTACTACGTGATGGACCCGGAGAAGGCGGTGGAGATGGTGGACGAGAACACCATCTGCGTCGCCGCCATCCTCGGGTCCACGCTCAACGGGGAGTTTGAGGACGTCAAGCGGCTCAACGACCTGCTGGCGGAGAAGAACGGGGAGACGGGGTGGGAGACGCCGATCCACGTGGACGCGGCGAGCGGCGGGTTCATCGCGCCGTTCATCTACCCGGAGCTGGAGTGGGACTTCCGGCTGCCGCTGGTGAAGAGCATTAACGTGAGCGGGCACAAGTACGGGCTGGTTTACGCCGGGATCGGTTGGGTCATCTGGAGGAGCAAGGAGGACTTGCCTGATGAGCTCATTTTCCACATCAATTATCTTGGTGCTGATCAACCCACTTTCACTCTCAACTTCTCCAAAGGTATACGTTCATTATTCACGCGGTCAAATTATGTTTATTTACTCGCTCTGTCTCAAATTAATAATCTCATTTTCAGTCTATTTCAAAATATTATTATTAAAATATAAGAAACATTTCCTGGACCACGGCCAAAATCTTGAGCTTTCGATTGAGTTGGTTCCTTGACATGATATCGGAGCTTTTGTTGGTTCTTAAACTTCTTGTTTTTACTTTTTTAATCAAACAGTAATATCTTTTGGTCATAAATTATATTTAATTTATGATCAAAACTTAAAAGATATTGTTTAATTAAAAAATTTAAAACAGGAAAGAGTTTATGTGAGAGAGTATTAAATTTTATTCTTATTGGATGGTGCAGGTTCAAGCCAAGTAATTGCCCAATACTACCAACTAATTCGATTGGGTTTTGAGGTAAGCATATATAACGAATAATACTCCGATCCGTATTAGCTAATGTGTTTAAAATTTTATGTATAAAAATATGTTTTTCAATTTATTCTTATAATACATAGGATTTTTTCCCCCAAAAAAACATGGATTTAAGAATTTGGGCGCGTAAAAAATATAATGATCATCTGTTAGAATACTCCCTCCATCCCTCGTACATCTTCCCATTAGCCATTTTTATTTGTCTCACATAGATCTTCTCATTAACTTTTTAATATTTAAAATACCACAACTACCCCCACTTACTTTATTTATTACACCTTTTCCACCTTATTTAATACATCCTCACCCATTTTTTAAGAGTATTTTGGAAAACTTTCACATTTTTTCAACTCTCCTTAAAAACCACAAAACATCAAAATGAGAAGATCTTAGGGGGACGGAGGGAGTATAAAAATATTCCTTGGACCACAGTCTTAAGCTTGAGCTTTTGGTTGAATTAGTTCATTAACATGGTATCAGAGTCTTGATGACTAAGAGGTCACGGGTTTGAAACTTAGCGCCACCCATTTTTAAGGTTTCCCAAAAATTAAGGTTTTACGTGCAAGACTCGAAAAAGACTATTACCTCACGTGACCACGATCAGTTGAATTGGATGGCATGCAGGGCTACAAAAACATAATGGAGAACTGCCAAGAGAATGCAATAGTGCTGAGAGAAGGGCTAGAGAGCACAGGTAAGTTCAACATAGTGTCAAAGGACAAGGGAGTCCCCTTGGTGGCCTTCTCCTTGAAGGACAACAGCCGCCACACCGAGTTCGAGATCTCCGACGTCCTCCGCCGCTACGGCTGGATCGTCCCCGCCTACACCATGCCCCCCGACGCCGAGCACGTCACCGTCCTCCGCGTCGTCGTCCGCGAGGACTTCTCCCGCACCCTCGCCGAGCGCCTCGTCAAGGACATCCAGAAGGTCCTCGAGGAGCTCGACACCCTCCCGGCCAAGGTCGGCGCCCGGCTGGCGGCGGTCGCGGAGGAGACGCCCGGCGTAGACGTGGCGGTGCAGAAGAAGAGCGAGCGCGAAGTTACGCTCGAGATCACCACGGCGTGGAAGAAGTTCGTTGCTGATAAGAAGGTCAAGACTAACGGCGTTTGTTAACGTTACATGTGCGCCATAACATGTGGTTCATCCTTGCTTATAATATATATGGACGCTTATTCTTACCAAATGCTCTTGATTTATATACTCTTGATTTATGAGGACCCTTTTATATTATCTCTATACTTTTATAATGTAAGTCTTCCATATATGGAATAAAGGAAGCATAATATCGTCTAGTATTTGTTTATTTGTTATTAAGATATGGTTTTATTGTGACTTGCATGTTCTTTATTTAATTGATCTTTTTTTTGTCGTTTTACCATGAACTCTTCATAAAATGTAGGAAGTATATTTTTTTCTAAACTTTAAAAAATGTGCCATTAATTCCTATGTTTTTAATAAAATACTCCCTCCGTCCCGGAAAACATGGGAGTTTTGATTTTGAAGAGAAATTTAAGGGGAGTGTATTTTGGTATTGAATTTCCAAAAATGTCCTTTGATGTGATGGGTAAAAGTATGATTTGATGGATAGATTATTAGTAAAAAGGTATGATGTTGTTAAATATATTAATTATTTTAATATATTTAATATTATATATTATATTTATGGTTGTTACATATTATAGCTAGAGTTATTATAATACAATATTTCCTTATTTATCTAGCCATTAATATGGAGAATTCTAGAATACTCCAACTCCACCTATATATTCATTACCTTGTATTCCTCTAAATTATTCAATCAAAAAGCATTATATATTATTTTACATTAACCACAAGCTTGAGCTTTTGGTTGAGTTGGTTCCTTGACATGGTATCGGAGCCTTGTTGACTAAGAGGTCACGGGTTTGAAACTCAGCGCCACCAAGTTTAAAAATAATTAAAGTTTCACGTGCAAGGCTCAACCACAAGCTTGAGCTTTTGGTTGAGTTGGTTCCTTGACAGATGTGATATGTAGGGTATGAAAAAATAAGGGGTAAAAGTGACTTTTTAATTTAAATGAGAAGTGTTTTTTGGGACGAATGAAAAAATAAAGAAGAAAGGTTTTCAGGGACGGAGGGAGTACCTGTTTTTATCCTTAATACTTTAAAAAGTGCTTGTTTGTCTTCTTAACCTTCACAAGTGCACTATTAGTTTTGCTAGACTTTTTTATTATTTATAGAACACATATTTTCTTGTTGAATTTTCAAAAGTATATCATTAGTCGGGCTCAAAGATGCACCCTCCTCTAGTCTTATGGTCTATTTTTCACTTAGCAAAGGGGAGACAAAATGGTCTAATTAAGTTAGATAGGGTGGTGGTCTAATTAAGGTTTTTTTTGGAAAAATGGTAATATTATTAATTCAAAATGAGTACAACGTCTCACAAATATGTGCCGGAGGAACAAAAATCCACTTCAACCAATTGATTAGATTCAGAATCAACCGTTCGAGCAAGCATAAGAGCCACATGATTCGTTGATCTTCTAACAACTGACAATGTGAGAGATTCAAAGTCTCGCATCACTCTCTTAATTACATTCATAAACAAAACCCATAAAATAAGAAGAAACCTCCACATCATCTTGGAATGCCTTAAAAACAACCTCGCTATCAATCTCCGCCACAATTTCATGATGCTTGAAAGCCGTCCTCAGCCACTTTAATGCCTCGTGGAACCCTTTTGCTTGAGCTATCTGAGAATTCGGCCTCTAACCGGCCTATTCCAATATGTGCCTCCGAACGAAATCGCCATGTGCATTGGAATGGCAAACCACCATCCCGGTCATCGCCATACTTGTTTGCGGGTGAAAACTCGCGTCAACATTGCATTTAAGCACAAGTCCCTTCAGTGCCTGTCAAGTAACCACCCGCCGATCCAGACCCTCATCACTCCTCCGCACATTACCTAGCCTGAGCCGTCTGTCATTCCTGTAGTTCTCGAATTACCTTCGTCACAAGTGTTTTTGGCACCATGCATTCCTGCCGTCTGCCATTCTTTAGTAAAGTGTTATAACTTTTCACTCTACTGTGAAATTTTTGTAAGAACACATTTTTTGCCATTCTTTTTTTGAAAAAAATTATCCAGAATAATCACAATTTTACCCGATCTTTCAAAAATAATTTCACCTTTCACTAATGATGCATAATAATCTCAACTATACTGAAATTTGCAAATTTTGGATCGTCGTTAAGTTTCTAACGGAAGGTTAATGGAAACGGTTTGTTTCAAGCAACAAAATGAAAGTTGAGATTATTTTTTGTGAATTTTTATTTCTAATATTTTTTGAAATTTTCATTTAAATTTTTAAAATATCTTTCTACCTCCATCATTTCTTTTTCTTTTTTAAAGATTGCTCCTACTTTAGAAAAAATAAAAATAATCGACATTAAAAATAACGAGAACGAAAAATAACTAAAACAATATAAAATTAATGAAATAAATATTGTAATCAATAGAAACTAACCAAAAACTCGTAAGAAATAAAATAAAAATATACAGAGTGGTGGGTATTAAAATTTAACGCACTATACAAAGTATTAATGTACCACTTCTTCTTATTTTTTAGAAAATATTATCTACAATTATTCCAACTTTACCAGCATGTTCTTTCAAAAAATAAGTAGTACATAAATATTTTGCATAATGCGTAAAATATTAGAACCCATAGTCCATATATTTTTATTTTATTTGTTACCAGTTTCACTTTAATTAAAATTGATTACCTTATTTATTTTATTAATTTTGTACGTTTTTAGTTACTTTTTTCATTTTTGTTATTTTTTACATCTACTTTTTTATTTATTTTTCTAAGGTAAGACTAATCCTTAAAAGAAGAAAAAGAAGAAAAAAATTGAGGTAGAAAGTTATTTTAAAAATTTAAATGAAATTTCAAAAAAAGATTAAAAATAAAAATTTATCAAAAATAACTTGATTTTTCATTTTGTTGTGCAAAATTGAAATTTCCGTTAACTTATTAAATTTCGTTAGCAATTTAATAGCGATCCAAAATTAACAAATTTCAGCAAAGTTAATATTATTATACGGAGTACATCATAGTTAAAGATAAACTTATTTTTAAAACACTTAATAAAATTGAGATTATTATATACTCCCTCCGTTCTCAAAAACACTTCCTCTTTCATTTTTTCCACTTCCAACAAAACACTTCTCTTTTCTATTAAAAAACTACTTTTACCCTTATTTTTTCATACCCTACCTATCACATCATACTTTTTCTCTAATAATTTATCCATCACATCTTACTTTTACCCATCACATTAGGGACAAAATTGGAAATCAACTATAATTTAACACTTCCTTATTTTTGCCCCAAATCCAAATGAGAAGTGTTTTTCCAACCCGAGGGAGTAGAATTTTCCCCTCTTTTTCTCGGAGGAACCATCAGAAATTGGACAAAGGTTTATTTTGGGGCCAGAATGAAAATTATTCCGTAAAACTTTTAATAAAAGGAAATTGTGAGTTCGCTCAGAAGCTGTACTCCGCCGCTGCCCAGTTTCGTCGGCGATCGACGACCGTCGTCAATTCGTTCTCCCTCTCCGGCGTCACTCAGGTATTCACTTCCCTCCTCCGATCTGTATACTCCGCCGTATCTCTCCGCCTCTCTCTCTTTCCTACTCCTAGTCTATGCCTCTCTCTTTCCTATTCCAATTCCTTGGCTATTTTATGATGTGTGCTCTACTGGTTTGATTTTGTAATGGTGTCATAAATTGTTTAATTTGTTTTTTTGGATATTCCAATGTGTAGAAAATTTAGATTTCCTCTCGAACTCTTCTATTTTGCTTCTCTCCATAGTTGATTCTGTGCAATTTTACTCCGTGTAGTCTCTACTGCTCTGATTTTTCCTAGTGTCACGAATAATTTTTTTAAATTGAATTAAGTGTGGGTTATTTGCAATATGTTTGATTTATTTAAAACTAGGACAATTGTGATATTTTGCGAATATTTTGAACATAAAAACATGTATCATAAAAAAATGTATAAATAAGAATGGATTGCATAACTATAAAATCGTTTATGGGTTTTTTCATGTTTCTTGGATTTGTTTCTTTCATGTGTGAATCCATTGTCGTTTTAAATCTTGCAGGCATTTGTTCCTCACTATCCGAAGAGTAATATTTATTGACATTTGGCGTTGTCGACATATTGGTTCTGCTTTTAGGCTATGAAGATGTATGCATTTAGTTATTTACATGTCAAACACGTCTCTTTTATTTAGAACGGATTGAAAATTCACAAAGTTTTTTGCAGACTTGAAGCAAATGCCGGTCCGCTTACCAATTTTGAAGTGCTTGAGTTTCTAAGGTCAAAAGATGCCGGGAAGGATCCTACGCTGGCCTTGCTTCCAAACATTGCATCCGAGTATAAGGTTTGATTTTCTATATTGTCAATGGAACTTTGAAGGTATGATATAGCTTATTATTCACGGTGTTTTTTTATATTGAAGGTTTTTGATTATCTGGAGAAAAGTGGTTGCAAGCATCTGACTCGAGAAGTTATCAACGAATTTTTGGAGAAATGTAAAAGCTTCAAACTATCAAAAGCTGAGCTGTTGAATATCATCAATATCATGCCCAAATCTGCGGTTGAACTTTACCCGGTAATGTTTTGCTTCTTGTTCCATGGCAATGACACATTCTATGGAACTCTTTTGAGAGCCCGTTTAGTGGGCACATGAGATATGGGATATCAGAACACTTTTTTTTGGGAGTTTAGTGAAGTCTAAACAGTGTTCCAAAACTTCGGATTTAATCTCCTGATATCAAAACCCTCTCAAACAGGGTTGTTTTTATACCTCTTGAATTTGGAAGATACATCAATATGATATCAATTCAGGCGTTTGATATCTCTCTCAACCGCCATCAAACCCACTGCTTCCGGCCACTGGTCACACACACCCCCTTTTCGACCTCTACCATTGCCACCCACCTGTCGCTGACCACCCGCCACCGACCACCCTACCGTTGTTTTTAAGGGGTTTTTTTAGGCATTTTAGGCGGAGTGCAAGTGTTTTGTGAGTTGCACAAAAAAATGAAGGTGGAGCTATTTTTCAAAATGGAGAGTATTTCAAATTTCATAACCCATAATATATCAACACTCCAAAACTTCCAAACAAGCCCTTTTCCCCTTTATTTCTGTAGGTTACAACATGTTTTCTAAATGGTAGAAATTATTCTCAGATGACAAAATGAAAGGAAGAAAAGTGAAAGGCGAAGAACAGAGGGCGTTTCATTTCTTTCTGTGTGTATACTAAAACGTATTGTTCATTCTCACACAGATCATAGAGGCATGTGATACTCGTGATGACGATAAATGTACAATGTTGAACGCGCTAGTGGCAATAGTCAAAGAGGTCTTGCTTGCAGGCACACCATCACCGCCGCCTGAGGAAGCAGAGATTGAAGCGGCTCACGAGGAAGATGGCATTGAGGCTGCTAAATAGAAACACTTAACCAGGGATATTGTTGTCTTTTCTACCCGATTTTCTTTCAGTTGGCTTGTACTTGTGTAGACCAGGTTAGCACTCGCTCTACGAGTGGGGGGTGAGGGTGCTTGCGGGGGATTCGGGGGTGGGGTCGGGTTCCGGGCCCCAACAGAGCACCACAGAGGCTCGTGTCTTGTTATGACACCAACTTCTGGGGTCAAAAGAACCTTGGTTTTAAATAGTGTTTGCTTGGAAAGAAATGTTTTATCTGCAGAAAGTACTCTTGCATTACCTTTGGGAAAAAAATCACAAAGATATGATAATTTTAATGAAAACAACAAGTTAAATACGTATTATGTTTTCGAATTATACTATGTATATATACCCAAATTGTCTATAAATAGGGTTCGTTAGACAAACCATTCTCTAAATAAGACAATAAATTTTTATTCTTTAAAATAGAATTTAATTATTTAATTAATTAATAATTATGGAGTTCTTCCACCTATTTTTTTTCTCTCTTGAGTTTTTTTGCACTATTTTATTTACTCTCTATAGTGTTCAATGTATAAAATGGTGATGAATAAAGACAAGAATTGATGTGTTAAATAGAATAAAAAACTACCAGCCAAAGCAGATGTTAAATACTTAAAAAATGCACCGCACTACCAAACATTTTTTAAAAATTTGTTTTCTTCAACTTATTACTCCCTCCGTCTTATAATGATCTTTCCGGTTCTGTTTACGAAGTTTGATCGACTTTATTTTTAATTCAATTTATTTGATTGTTGGTGTAAACTTAAAAAATAAAATTTATATATTTAAAAACTACATCAAAAGTTTTACAAAACAAGTAGTGACAAGACTATATTATTTTATCAAATACCTAATGAAAATACGTAAAGAAAGTGATTAAAGTTTGACCGTGTGAATAGTAAGTGGGAAGAACATTTCAGGACGGAGGGAGTATTACTTATTATAAATTTTTATTAGAAGCATACTCCCTCCATCCCTAAATCAATTATTCTTTATGCAAAACAAAGTAAAATTTTAAGTTTTTTCAATTGATTTTATTTAAAGATTGGTATATAAATAAAAAATAAAACTTACATATTCAAAAAATACATCAAAAATTCTACGAAATAAGAGGTGACAAGAATATTTTATTTCATCAAATAGTCAATGAAAACACACAAATAAACAAAATTTCTCGCAACTTTTGAGTAGTAAAATATGTAAATCATTTAGGGACGAATGTAGTTTCATATCACAAACAATTTTTAACTAATTACAATCAGACTAAATCAAACATTAATAAAATCATGGGAAGTTTACCTAAATAGTACTAAAACATAATGACTTTCCCAATATAGTATCATATGTTTTTATTTTTTTCAATATAGTACCACTAGTTATTGTCAATTGGTCATTGTTTAAGTAAATGTCCACCGTCACTACACATTGTTCAAACTAAATGTCCACCATCAGGTATTGTTCGTGTCACTAGACATTTTTCAAATATTAGTTTGAGAATAAAAAAGTTTAACTACTACATTAGAAAATGACATATTTTAATACTCTATTATTTAGTACAAATTTCACTAAAATCATAGGGTTAAAAAGGGACATGGTTAAATTTTATTCCCCTTTACAACCATGAATCTCATCTGGTATCTTTTTTTACCAGTCTCCCTGATATAAGTAAGAGCTTAAAACTCTGGTGCGCGTTACATTTCGGGCTCGCGGTTAATTAAGCCAGTCAGAGAGGGAGATCGAGATCTGGCTCCCCTTCTCTCTCCGTTTTCTTGATCTCAATATATATATACACCGACACCTGAAAGCAAATGGGGAAGAAGATGGCGTCGGCTTCCTACGCTGTCGTTCTGTTCATAGTCTGCTGCGCGCTGCCGCCGGCGACATCGGATTCATCTGATCACAGGTACAGTCGCGGAGATTCAGTGCCTCTGTACGCCAACAAGGTCGGACCTTTTCACAATCCGAGGTAATCATCCATCGAATTCCCGCAATTAGATCTCTTCGTCGGTTCGTTCGTTCTGTTGTGGCGAATGCATGGTTTGGATCGGTGGATGTTTTGATGAGCGATGAATTTGTGCATTTGTTCATGGGGCTGTTGTGATCTGATGCCTTTTCTTAGCTCTTAGTTTACTGCAGTTGGGTACTGATTGGAACACGAGAACATCCAATCTCTAATTTCAGTGATTACAATGAGCTGTCTCTGAATTGTTCCTTTGGTGTGCAACAAGTTTTTTTCGTTTCCGTGATAGGTTGATTGCGAAAGGCTTGGACATTTGAATAGTTCAAAATTAGGGTTGACTTCAGGAAACTATGTAGGCAATGGGAGTGTTCTCTAGTCATACTTGAATTGAGTGTTGCTCCATATTAGCTATGTAGGTTATTTCTTATTAGGATGAATTCTGCATCAGGGTTGTGATTCGATAGAATGTGGTTTATGATTCATAATCTATAATCCAAAGATGAAGCATGGGAGATGGATTAGTGATATTTAAATTTTGCACAAAATATTACAGAGTATTAAAGAGTTGTGTGTGCTTAAAGTGCAGGGAACAGTTCGTATTCACCCATGTGCACTTCTTTAAGGATGTTATCTTTGAACCAAATGCTAGGGATGACAATATAGGTCTGAGTTGAGGATCCTAAATCCACCACACCTCGAGTGAAGATTTTAAGCATCTACTCTAACCCACTACGAGTACCAACCCAAAATTAATAGTTTTATTTTATTTAGTGAATTGGGTAATGAGCACTATAATTCTAGTGTGTCATACACTAATTGGTGGGATTAAGGTGCCGATAATGATGATGAACTTAATATTAACTATTGATTAATCCCTCAGCCCCAAAACCAAGTCCTGTATGGGAAACTTGTGTATAAATTTGTTTTTGTCTCCCAAAGATGAGTCCTAATTGAACAAAAGAAGTTAATTTTCATCATACTTAATGTTTATTATAAAAAAAATGTCTGGAACAAGTGGAGCACTGTAAATTTAGTTAAAACAAGAAATAAATTTGAAAGTATATCCATATTTAATTATTTCCAACAATTGTGCCTTGCAAATATTAAAAAACTTTACCCTTGTGATTTGTGAAGCATGATTCTTTTTATGGGATGTAGCACAGAGGAAGTGGATGCTACATTTGCTAACACTTTTATTCTAAATATAATTTTAAATATGTGTAAACTGTGATGTTCTAAAGTCTAAACATTTAATTAACACCATATACTCACATGTCAAAAAGTATACTTGAATTAAAAAGTCATACATAGTATTCTTGATGGTAATTTTGAAGACTTATGTATACATTTTTATTCAATGCTGACAATGCATTACATATTTGTAATAAAATGTAAGCGCACAACATTATTGACAAAAAATATTTCCCCCTCCGTCCCAAATTAAAAATCCAATTTGATTGGACACGAAGTTTAATAAAAATTTCGAGAACTGAAAAGTGTGTTGTTGAAATGGTTTTGGAAGAAAGAAAATAATGATAGCCACACATTCCTTACATAAAATGGAAATGAGCTTATTTTGAGACAAACAAAAAAAGAAAGTGTATTGTTTGTCTTGGGACGGATGTAGTATTTTATTACATGTACACGGCAGGTTGGAGGTAGAATGGGAAAATAGTGGCTGGTGTTTTATTAGTTTGAGCCCAACCCACAACCCACCAGACATCCAAAGCCAACATATGCGAGCTAGGTGGGGCTTGTTATGCATAGATTAGACATATAATTCCATTACTATATAAGACACTCCTACTTTGTTTAACCAGACAACTTTTAATTTTTCTGGGAATGTCGCTAGTTATTACAAAACAATATGCATTGAATCTTTTTAACTAACAGTCTTTTTTGGAGGAAGACAACATTAATACACAGTTAAACAATTACTCATGGGTTGATTGGGTTCAATGCTCTATGTCATTATGAAATATAAAGAAATTCGATCCATAAAATTTGAATAAACTTTTAAGAACTTGATATGTGAGTAATGCTAGTAGTTGGCATGGGGGATGTGATGGTGTCTTTCTGATGTGTTGCTAATGGCATGATTCTCGTTTTTCCCATCTTGCAGTGAAACATACCGTTACTTTGATCTTCCTTTCTGTCACCCAGGTTAGATATCTTGTAGGATACAATATTAACTCTCAAATCCTCTTTGCTGGTGTTATTTTGAATGTATTAATGGATTTTGGGCAGATGATGTGAAAGTGAAAGATAAAAAGGAAGCACTGGGTGAAATCTTAAATGGTGACCGTTTGGTCACTGCACCTTACAAGCTTGACTTTATGCATGATAAGGACTCAGAAACTGTATGCCAGAGGAGACTGTCACAGAAACAAGTTGCACAGTTCCGTGAAGCTGTTGCAAAGGATTATTATTTCCAAATGTACTATGATGACCTGCCATTTTGGGGGTTTCTGGGGAAAGTTGATAAGGAAGGAAAATCTGACCCTAGTGAATACAAGTATTACCTATTCACGCATCTTCACTTTGAGATCTCGTACAACAAGGATCGTGTGATTGAGATTAATGCACGAACTGATCCGAATGCCCTTGTTGACATCACTGAAGACAAAGAAGTTGGTGTAGACTTTGTGCATTCTGTGAAATGGAAAGAAACAAACACACCTTTTGAGAAGAGAATGGAAAAGTACTCCCAGTCTTCATCTTTGCCTCATCACTTGGAAATCCATTGGTTTTCAATTATCAACTCCTGTGTGACTGTTCTCCTCTTAACTGGATTTTTGGCCACTATTCTTATGCGGGTCCTTAAGAATGATTTTGTAAAGTAAGTCGCATTTAAAATTTATTAATTAATGAATTGTTAATTCTCTTTGAATAAAAAGTGTCTTGCCAGTCTTTAATGATTGTGAATTCTTGCATAAATTGAAAGGTATGCTCATGATGAGGAGACTCTTGATGACCAAGAAGAAAGTGGATGGAAGTACATTCACGGTGATGTTTTTAGGTACCCAAAGTACAAGTCTTTGTTGGCTGCAGCCCTTGGTTGTGGTACTCAGCTATTTACCCTGTAAGTATGCCTTGGACCTCTCTTTTTTTTTGCCTAGTTTAGTACAACTCTCTTAGTTTAATTATACCTCTGTCCTTAAAAAACTTCTTTTTGACCAATGCACATTTATTTGTTTTTTTGGCTTATCTAAACTTATCATATAGAACTTGTATAGGACATTTTAGAGACAGAGGGTGTATTAAAATTTAAATGAAATTTTAATCTCAATGATTTTTTTTCCTGACCATGCTTATATTCTACTAGGACAATCTTTATTTTTTTCCTTGCATTGGTTGGAGTGTTCTACCCTTACAACCGAGGAGCTCTGTTCACTGCTTTGGTTGTCATATATGCTCTGACTTCTGGAATTGCTGGCTACACGGCTGCCTCTTTCTATTGCCAACTAGAAGGAACAAACTGGGTATGGCTTTAATCAATGCGTCTTTTGAGTTTTAAGTGTGATCTTTATGTTTCGTAAGTTTTCATGGCAATTGAAATTTGTTTCCTTTTATGCTTCTTCTCAGGATCTATTAGTGAGCACCACTAACATGATTGCTCAAATGTGAAATCATTGTGACTAGTGTTTATTTAATCACTTGTATTATAAAGATATGCATTTAAAAGTGGGTAAAACGCATTTTGGTTCCCTAACTATATGTACTTGCAGTATGTCAACATTTTCATCTTGAAGCTCTCAAAAATTGCAAAGTTTATCAGAAACTAATGCTAAAATTAGCGATCCAGTCAATGGGTTGTGCATTGACACTTTCATTAAACTAAAAAAAAGAATGAAAACATTTAAGTGAATAAAGATTAAAAATTCTGGCAATTAGCTTTTTTTATTTTTAAAAAATAGATTTTATCTTTAAAAAATTAAAATAAAATTATCATGTTAGCACCTGTTCGCAGAATTCCCATTGCAAACTCTACGTTCTCGGGGCATTTTACAATTTCTGGTGACTTTGGAACTAATTATTTGACATTTTGAAAGGGATATATTTAAATTGTGAAAAAATTTACAATGGGACTAATTCTGCCTATCACCTACAGTTACAGGACCAAAAAATGTATTTTACCCATTGATGGTGAATCAATCAATATCAGAATAATAAAGAATTATTACCGGTTTACAGGTCAGGAATTTGCTATTGACCGGAGCATTGTTTTGTGGACCCCTGTTCCTCACATTCTGTTTCTTGAACACGGTAGCAATTGTTTACAGTGCCACGGCAGCACTTCCATTTGGTACCATTGTGGTCATCTTGCTAATATGGGCCCTTGTGACATCACCCCTGCTTGTCTTGGGAGGAATTGCCGGAAAGAATAGCAAGGCCGAGTTTCAAGCTCCCTGCCGTACTACTAAATACCCAAGGGAAATACCGCCGTTACCTTGGTATCGCGGAGCTCTACCTCAGATGGCAATGGCTGGTTTTTTGCCTTTCAGTGCCATATACATAGAACTTTACTACATATTTGCTAGTGTGTGGGGCCACAGGATCTACACCATCTACAGCATCTTATTCATTGTCTTCATTATTCTCCTCATTGTTACCGCCTTTATTACTGTCGCGCTGACCTACTTTCAACTTGCTGCTGAAGACCATGAGTGGTGGTGGAGGTAAGTTATGTGTTTTTTTACTATTCTTTTGTTCCCTAGGCAGATTTTGGTACACATGAAATGATTTTTCAGTACACATGAAAATATTTTTCACCATTCTATAGAAATATTTTCTTGTGGAAGTTACATTTTTTATGTTTTGTGTGTTGCTGAACAGGTCATTCCTTTGCGGAGGATCAACTGGGTTATTCATCTATGCGTACTGTCTCTATTACTACTACGCACGTTCGGACATGTCAGGCTTGATGCAAACTTCCTTCTTCTTCGGCTACATGGCCTGCATTTGCTATGGCTTCTTCCTCTTGCTCGGCGCCGTGGGTTTCCGTGCTTCCTTATTCTTTGTTCGTCACATTTACCGCTTCATCAAGTGCGAGTGACGATAAACAAAGTCCAAGTGGATCACAACGCCTTATAGGGGGCCCGCGTACGCCCTCCTCCACACAGTAAAAAACTTGGTAAGGCCTTGAGGAGCACCTTGCAGTGTAGAACCTTAGGGTTTTTTTTATTTACTCAAGAGGAAAGGCTGTATTGTTTTTTTTACCACTGTCTCACTTTTGAAATCTATACATATATAGATACAAATAGTATATATTTCACCCCCACGAGTTCTTTTAAAACCTGTTTTGGATGTCATAATATGACACCAAGGCTATATAATACTCTGTGGGAGTCTGAAGTGGTTCGTCCCTAACCCCCAAAATCCCTTTGCCCCCTCAACCCTTGGAAAATGTGGAAATGCTATAGTAAGAATAGGTGTAGCATTTTGTGGTGGGGTGGGGTAGCGGGGGTAAGAACCAGTTTGTGCTCCAACGTGGGACCTCAAATGGCCCTTTAGTTTTATAATGAAACATCATACGAAATGTGTGTGGGTCGTTGTTGAAACTTTTTTGCTTGTTAAATGCTTAAGAAGCAAGGCTTGCAAAACTAAAGAGAAAACAAGGCCTTCTTGAAGAGCAAGTATAAACTTTGAATGATTCCGTCTATTTGTGACATAGTTTTCAGAACTGGACCGGTGACCGAACCGGTCAAGGTACTGGTTCACTGGTCGAACCGGTGGTTTAAACATATTTAAAAATTATATATGTGTGTGTGTGTGTATACATGCATATAGACACACACACACATTCTCATTTATAAATACCTAAATAAAGTAGTTTATAATATTTGACTAGAATTATATTAATATATTTGAGTTATTTTACTAAATTTAAAAAATAAACTTTACATACTAAAAAAAAATTAAAATTTTATAAAAAATAATATCAATGATTTAATATTTTAAAATTGAAAAGGAATTTGTATACAATCTTTCTATGAATTATGAAATATTATAAAAAATTATGCAAACTTGAAACAAGTTACTTTGCTTAGATGGTTAAGAACTCAAGCAAATGTCTTTAAGATCTCGGGTTCAAACCCTCATGGAGTGAAGTTTTGGAAAAAATTCGCAAAAAAAAAAAACTAGTCGGACCGGTTCGAAGCACATTGCGGTCCAACGGGCTGGACCGGACCATTTGGACCACCGATTTGCTGGTTCACGTTCCGAACCGGCCGGTCCGGTATGGTTTTTAAAACTATGATTTGTGACATACATTAATTTGGGTACCTCATCAAGAGAACAAAATGATTTCGAATGTAAACAAATGTCAAGTTTGTGTATTTTAGGGCTTATATTTATGACTAGCATTTCTCAAATCGATATCAAGTGTATAGAGTTTGGTATTTCAAAGTGAGATTTTGAAGTGAATCTAATGGGACTAAATTAATATTACGAGTATAATTATTGTATTATATTTTTACTGTTAAAATTGTATCTTTAAAAGAAGTGTAACATAACAATTAGTGGGTATTGAGGTTGTAAAACGAACCGAATCAAATTGAATATTCATGAATAATATTCGTATTCATTAAGATAAAGTCATATTCGAGTTTGAATTCAGTTTGAATATTTTTTAAGATTCATATTCGGTTCATTTAATATATTGAACATATTCGGTTCGTTTAAATATATTCAGTTCGTTTAAAAATATTCGATTCATTTAGATTTTGAATAAATTTGGACAATCAATTAAATAAAAAAATTATATCTTATATTTATTCAAGGAAATAAGTTTTGTGAAACTTTCAGTAAAATAAATCTAAACTATTTTTGTATTAATATTCAATGCAAAATCATTATTTAATTGATGAACAAACTTCGTGTAACTAGTTTGATTCAAAATAGTTAAACACTCAATTTAAACAAATACAGAATACTTTAGAATAGAGATAATATATGCTTCTACTTTGTGTATCTTAATCAAGATAATACACTTTAATACGGAGTATTATGTTTGGTTCAAAGAATTTAAAAGAGAAAATAAAATTTTATAAGATGAAAAATAAATTTTCTTGTTTAGTTAAAAAAAGAAAATAAAAGAAAAGTGAAAAGAAATGAAAATGAGAAAACAAAATAATGTACCAGTAAAAAAATTCCCATTTTAGTGAGAAAATAAAAGAAAACAATTTTCTTTTCCGAATTCTTTGAACAAAAGACCAGATTAGTCTAAATAGATAAATTTAGCATCTTTGAGGAGAACCACGAAGTCTTGACCTTGAGCCTGTTTGAGAATAAAATTAGAAGTTAGTGTCAGCATTTTAAAAACGTTATCTACGGCAACGTTTAGCTTTAGCATTTTCAAAGTTAACATGCACCGTTAAAATTTTATTCAAATCGCTAATACTAATAAAAAATGCCATTTCCAAGCGGGCCCCTTGTTATTTCAAATTCCGCGAAAAACAAAATAACAAAAACACTCCTACTTAAAAAAATTCCGTAAAATATTGCCCGTGTAGTTGCAGTTTACATATTGAACACGTCGAAAATTCTCTAACAATTACTCCCTCCATTTCTTCAAACACTTTATCTTTCATTTTTTTTTGTTTATTCCATCTGTACTAAGATCTTACGCCGGAGTATACAACTTTTATTTCATTCATGACAAAAAAAGAATTTAGTTTCACCCACAAAAATCAAACTAATTACTTCAAAGTCCACCAGTGACACTCCCATTGAAGATCTCAATGGTGTCACCCGGGCCCACATTGTGCCATCTAAACGACCGATCATCGTCCATCACATTCTGCTTGTATATGAAGAAATACCCTTCTTCCGGCAACTCCATTTCCTCTTCCTTCCTCCTCTTCATTTTTTCCAACTCCTTTCTCAGTTCGCCGACGTTTTCCGCCGGATTCACCTCCACCGCGTACCTCTTCGTCCCGCATTTCGACACCACCGTCACCCGAAGATGCTTCTTCGGGCCCACGCTCCCGCTCCCCGACGACCCGGACGACGTCGCCGGGGAAGGCCTTTTCACGGCGACGTCTATTTCCACGCCGTCGGGGAGCTCGTAGTCCGCCACCGCCCGGCTATCCGATAGCTCGGAGCCGTTCACGTGGACGGAAATTCGGCGCGGGTTTGGCTTTCCTCCCGCCTCTTCGTTGATCCGCTCTTTCAACGCCCGGACGGTGTCCGAGGGGTCCACTTCGAGCGAGATTCCGGGGGCGTCAGACCCCCGGAATTTCACGTGGACGCGGAGGGGTTTGCGGCGCGGAGGAGAAGTCGGGGCGGCGGCGGATACGACGAGATGAATGTGGGAGTTGTGGAGGATGTCGGAGTTGTGGACGTCGACGTCATCAGGGAGGACTTTTCCGGCGAAGATTAGGGTTTGGGCGGCGGCGGGGATGCGGCGGAGCTTCTGGATCTTTTCTTTGATCTCGGAGATGGTGTCGAAGAAGCCGACTTCAATGGTGAAATGGGAGCCTTTTTCGGGATGAAAGATCAAATCCATCGCTTCATTGAATCTGATGATGATTGGTTAGGGTTTTAATGTTTTTTTTCCTTCACAAATCAAAATGGTTATTTATATAAACAAAAGTGAGCATTTTGATAGATCATATCAGGGATTCTGTTATTAACGGATTATTGTTGTTCTTATTATTATTATTATTATTATTATTATTATTATTATTATTACTCCGTATTATTATTGTTGTTGTTATTAATTATTAGAACTATTATTATTATTATTATTACTATTGTCATCGTCGCTGTTATTATAATAACTATTATTATTATTAGATTAAATTATTTGAAACAACTCCGACTTTGAGTGATCCTTGAAAAATAATCACATATATACTCTCTCTATTTCTTAAAACGGTTCTTGTTTTGACTTTGAGGCAAAATAATAAAAGTGTAATTTTAGTTGACTTTCCAATTTTGTCCCTAATATGATGGGTAAAAGTAAGATGTGATAGTTTAGTTATTAGTGAAAAAATATGATGTGATAGACAGAGTATGAAAAAATAGGGGTAAAAGTGGTTTTTTAATAGAAAAATGAAGTGTTTTAAGAAAAAAAATGAAAGAGGAAGAGTTTTAAAAAAGGGAGAGAGTATTTCATTGTGATGAGAAATAAGCCAACCTTTAATTCGGTGCTCTAGTTTTGGATTGCCGCCTTGACGGTTCTAAATAGTACGGAGTAAATACTTATTTTGTGTTACTAAATGAAAGATAAGATTGTTAGATAAATTTTCTTTTTTCAAATTTTTTAATATTATAAAATTTTAAATTAAGTTTTTTTAAAAATAAAACAGTACATAACCTTTTCTTTGCTTGAGTTGTAAAAAGTTCAATTCATGGTAAAGTTCACTAAAATTTGATTCCCAATGTTAGGTTGATGATAAAGTACTAAAAAGAATTAGAACTACAACATGTTCCAAAAATCCAAATTGTGACAATTTTAAAAGATATGACAAAGTAAAAAAAATAGATTATTTAAAAAAATGATAATTGTGCCTCTTTGGAATTATTTTTCAAAATTGTAACGCTATTCTACTACGGAGTACTTTTTTTTTTCAATTGCAACACCATTGTACCACGGAGTATAATTTTGAACACCATTGTTACATGGTCCAACAAAATTCAAATTGCAAAAAATTCCATATTCTTGACAAGTGTACAAAATCATAGTACAAATTGTTTTAAAAAAGGTTTAATTTTGTAAAATTTTGATACTTTTTTTAAAAATTTTCCTTTACTTTATAATAAGGTGTAAATGATACTCCCTCTGTTCCACAAAACTCATTCTCTTTCGTTTTTTTGCTTTCCACAAAACACTTCCACTTTCTATTAAAAAACCACTTTTATCCCTACTTTTTCATACCCTAGCTATCACATCATACTTTTTCAGTAATAATCGAACTATCACATCTTACTTTTTCCCATCACATCAGGGGCAAAATTGGAAAGTCAACCAAAATTTTACTTTCCTTATTTTTCCCCAAAGTCAAAACCGGAAGGGTTTTGTGGAACGGAGGGAGTATGATATATTGGATTGAAGATTGGTAATTAGGTGTTATGTTTTGTAAAATGAAATTTTTATGATGCCTTTTATTTTATTTTAAGCTCTTACCATTCCTTTTTCGGACATTAATTATTGTTCTTTACACGTGCTTTATAAATTTTTTTTGTAAAAGGTGGATAGTAGTGAGGTTGAGAATCTCAAAGCAGAACTGGAGAAGAAAGATCACTACAAGAATTTGTCTGGTCTGCAACGAAAATATGCTACGGACCCTTTTCCGTAGCAGATCTGCAACGGATCAGCGACGGATCCGTAACCTATGAAAAAAATAAAATCTGCGACAGACGTCATTTTTCCGTTGCAAATCAGCAACAGAATATTTTACCCTGTCGCAAATTTGAGTAGGTCAAATTTTGACCTGTTTATCTGCCACGGACGCTGAATTCCGTCGCAGATCCGTCGCACGGAAGTACTAAAAAACAAGATTGGTTTTTTCCCAGCCATTCGTCCTTCAAACCTAATCCCAATTCCTCTCTCTCCCGCACCCGTCCTTCGAACGCCACCCCTCCCCCACCATCTACGCCCGTCCTCTCCGCCGACGCCCGTCCTCTCCGCCGACGCACGTCCTCGCCGCCAGCCGCGCCGTCCTCTCCAGCCGCGCCAGCCACGTTGTCCCCCAGCCGCGCCGTCGCCACCCCTCGTCACCGCCGCTAGTACTCCACTGCCAGCCGTCTCTCTTCCCCCGTCGGACCTCCTCTTCTTCTTTGCCTTGAACTTGAAGGTATTTTTGTTTAATTTTATACAATTTATTGTTATTGTAATTTTTGGTGAAATTGAATTTGATTGTGTAAAATTGAGTGCATTTTTGGTGAAATTTAGTTGAAATTGTGTGGATATGAGATGAAATTGACTTGAAATTGGGTAACAATTGCACTACTTTTTGGTGAAATTCATGGCCGTGTAATTTTAGTTAAAATTGTGTTCGTAAATTTGTTGTTTATTGTGAGTTTAGGTAAAAAATTTAGTTTAATTTTGTGAAATTGAGGTGATGATAAGTTCATATCTATAGTTGAATGATTGTTGTTTGTGGTTTAATAAGTTTGTCATTTGTTAGCCGCCTTTATTGTTGCTATGGTTTGTTGGTAATAAATGTCATTGATATTCTTGGTTAAATTGTTGTTGTTTGTTGCCTTTCATTTACCAGGCGTTTCTAGAATGAGTCCATTCGAAAATCGTGAGTTGATGTATAAGAAATATGAGAGAGAAGGTGTTGTTAGTCAAGAATGGGTGGACAACGTGGTTGAGTTTGTAGAGTACTGTGAGTCAAGTCCCAATTTAGATAGGTTGGATAACAAGAAAATGCGATGTCCTTGCGTGAAATGTAAGAACATCAAGTTTTTTTCATCAAAGAATATGCTGGAGCACATTTTGCGGTTTGGATTCACACCTAATTATTTTGATTGGGTATGTCACGGCGAGAATCATGGTGACTACGTACCTCCCCAACGATAAAAAATCCCTCACCAAGCTGATGCCTCAGATGTATCACATGTCCCGGGTAGAGAACAGTTTGTGCACATGATTTATGATGCAGTCGGCCCGACTAGGATCAACTCTGTTGTTGAAGAAGAGCCAAATTCGACAGACAAGCACTTCTTCGAAATGTTGAAAGCTGCTGATACAGATCTTTGGCCGGGAGTTTTAAGACATCTCAGTTGTCTGCAGTTGCGCGCTTATTGAATATTAAGTCAGAGCATAATCTATCTGAGCGTTGTTACGACACCATATGTCAATACATCAAAGACAATCTCCCGGAGGACAACTCAATGGTGAATGACTTTTATGAAACTAAAAAGATGATTGAAGGTTTGGGTCTTCCGGTCCAAAAGATTCATTGTTGTGTTCTTGGATGCATGATGTATTGGAGAGGCGATGAAAGTCTTACCGAGTGCAAGGTGTGTCATAAGCCACGCTATAAAGACGAGACATCTACGATTCCGCACAGACAGATGTTCTACTTTCCGCTTACACCAAGGTTGAAACCCTTGTATATGTCCAAGCGTACGGCGGGGGCAATGAGGTGGCATGCCACACATCGACACACAAACCAAGATGAAATGTGTCACCCTTGCGATTCTGAGGCATGGAAAAGATTTGATGCAGACCATCCTTCTTTTGCTTCAGAAATGCGCAATGTGCACCTAGGTGGTGGTGTTGTTGTCGTATGACACTAGCTATTTGTGTTGTTGCATTGATGGTGTTGTTGTCTTATGACAACCTATTTTGTTTTTGCGTTGATGGTGCTGTCAACACTAAGTAAATTTTACGTTGTTATTGATCCATGGTAATGTTAGTTGTTAAGTTCTTGTGGTCTTATTTTCTTGTTTTATTGCTGTTCTTGACGCAATGATTATTGTGTTGATGTGTGTTATTAACTATTATGTATTTCAGGCTCAATTCTTCGAACTGCGCGAGGAGGCTACACAGAATGGGCTGCAAGTCACCGACGAAGAAATATGGTACTCGCTAGTTGAGGGCCATAACGCGAAGAACCGCGTTCCTGGAGTTGGTGACTACGAGCGGGAAATGAGGAAGATGAATCCGTCCTCCAAACCTCGCCGTTCCAGCACGAGTAGTAGAAGCACAGCGGA